GCGAGAGAGATGCCATCAGCCTAGGACAGCCCATAATTTATCATTAGCTGCCACTGGTGTGTATCTATCATGTATTTATGGTTGCTGCGCATGAGAGCTATTGTCCCCCAGCGCAGGAGAGGTGCAGCTTTACGGATGTGAGAATTATTGTTTCTAGAAGAAGGTGCTGCCATCCAGGAATGTGGAAAAATTACTCAGTGCAATTAAGGACAGCCCAGCAGCCTTTATCTGGCTTTAGTGTAATTGCTGAAGAGAGGCTTTTTTTTTCTTTTGTTTAGTTCTTAACAGTAGATTTGATTCAGCAGTGGGCTTTCAACACTGTGGTGTTTTGTGATAGCATTTTGGTTTAATCTTGATTACCGCATGCCCCTAGAGTCATTTTTGTATCTTGTTGCTTCCAGTCCTGCCTCTGTTGTGGACTGGAAAGTTTCTTTTATCTCTTTTATAAAATATTAACAATGAAAGGAATTTGAGAGGCAGTGCTGCCTTATTGCCCTGCTTTTTCCATCTCTAGCACTGTTGCCCTCTAGGGGAAGAGTTTTGTCTTGTTTTGGATGGTTTCCTGAGTTAAGGTAAGCCTTTGGCTTAGATACAGTTCCCTGGTTTTCACAGATTTTGTATTTGATTTTCAGGTGAACATCTGGGCTGCATCAATGAAAGTAAGACACAAAATCCTCTGGGGGGGGTGTTGGCCTTAGCATGACATTCCTCAGTTCTCTGTTCTTTAAAAAGAAACAGCAGTATGACTCCATTTCAGAGCGTTGTGAGAATAGATGCATGGAGAGATTTGAGTTGCTCAGATACTACAGCAGTGTGAGCCATGTAGGAAAACAGAATATGCTTTTAGATGTTTGTCTCAGCTTGTGTTTTGTAACAGATTCCTGATAATTAGGTTTTCTGTTCAGCTGCTTTTTGATAGGATTATTACTTGCCCATCATTCTTTTCTTTTTAATAGGCATTTTTTCCCCCTCTTCATGCCTTCCATCTTTTCCTTTTCCCTTCCCATGTACACTGTGCCTTGTGCTGAAATCTACTGGGGAATTATTAGGATTTTTTTTTTTTTTTCATATTTATCTACCGATAACTTGTTCTTCATTTGGTGATTTGATCAATGTCAGCTGTTTGATCAGTGTTGACTCTTTGACTAGGGGCATCTAAATTATATTTAGCCAAATCTGCATGCTAAGCTTCAGAGTTTTATTGCTTTTTTTTTTTTTTTAAATCTCCTTGGATACTCTTTTGATGGAATCTTCTGTTTATTACCCCTTTCCCTCTTGTTTGTTAAGTACCCTCTCTTTGAGTGAAGCATTTTCAGAAGGCTTCAGTTGTACTAAGATTTAGTTTTTTTCCTTGACAGCTCTAACTTGATGAGACTATTCTCTTGGTAGAGAGGAAGACACAGCTTCATCGTAGTGGGAAGAGGACAGGAGAGCTCAAGCCCAAGTAAATCTACAGCTTAAGCCATCTTTTCAGAGGAAAACTCAGAGTTGAGGAGGGAGATGAAAGGCTTGCCTGTGCAAGTATGAGATGAGGTCAGCAGGTGTTGTATTCAGAACCATTCTCCTCCTATCCTCAGTATTGTGCACTTAAAAGAATTTAAATTTTGCTGTTCACAGTATTTGGATGTACCTCCAAAACCTCCTGTAGGAATTGCTTACAACAAGTGCTTCATTATAATTATGACAATCTAAACATTTCTGTTCTTTGCTATCACTGGCAGTACTACGGATTCCATTGCTTTAGTTTAACATAGATTTCCAGCTTGTGTTTTCTCTCTCAAAGCCCATTGCACTCATTCTTGGGAATATCAAAGCACCAGGCTGCTGCCACCAGACTGTGGCACCTCTTCATGCTTTACTTCAGCACTTCAGTAGATGAGAGACACCCTGAGTCCATCACACTCTTTTGAAAATTATTGATTTTTATACTGCAGACAACTTAAAAGTTACCAACTTTAATTAAAATCATCAGCTTCTATTACCTTTCCCTTCAGTTTCTGCAGCTTTAAAACATCTCCATCTTGCTATAAACTCAAATAAAAAACCTAATTTTAGTTACCATTGAGAAGAAACCCTTAAGCTCAGTACCAAAACATAATCCCTTCTTCACTGGCAGGCCTATTTATTTATTACCAGCCTTAATCACTTGAAATCTTTGGGAGGCAGCTGACCCAACCAGACCAGCCCAAGGTCCTCAGTCCTGCTCTGGCAATGCTGTGGGAAAAGGAAATGAATTTCATTTTAAAACCCATTGTGTGAATGTGGTTTTGTCTAGACTGCCTTTAGAGCTGTTGTGTGTAGAAGGGGAGTCTGGCAGTGCCCTGTGGTGGGCAGATGAGCAAGGTCAGAAGTCCTGTGGGTCTTCACTGTCTCTCTCTTTGTGAATAATATAATATCATTTTGTTTTCCTTCCTACATATAACAGCAGAAGAGCCTCCTTTACAAAGTTGTAGAGGAAATTTGATAGCAGCTATGCAGCCTAGGAAAAGAAAAAAAATGTGGACGTATGTCATATTTGTAGATGAATTCTTCTTTGTTCAAATACATGACTAATCTTTCCAAATATTGTCTTTAGGTTACATGCTGTTGCCAGTTCAATACTGCCATATCTGTGAATCAGTCCTTATATTTCTTTCTAGTTCATTTGGTGCTGTAGGTGATGAGATTGGTGCTTTTTTTAAAAGAAAATTTTTTTTTTATTAAGTCTTCAATACGTTGGCCTTCTTCAGGTTCTTATTCTGTCAATATAATATTTTTCCTTATGTTTCTAGAGTGTCCCAAATTGCTCATAGACTCATACTGATATCATTTTCCTTTCTACTCTATTTCACATTTATATCCTTCTTTAGGTGCTATTATTCATGCTCACAGGTTTTAGTGTTCCATTTTTGCTGACAACTCCCAAATCTATTTTTCGGTACCTACTGACCCAGTGCTGTCTCTCCCTTTGCTGTGTGATTGTCTTTATGACATTATGGTTCAGAATAGATGTCATCAAACTTTTTTAAGTTGGATTCAGACAAGAATGAATTGTAGCTTGAAGAGCTATCTCAATATTACTTTATATTTCTTATTTGCCATTGACTTTGATGGATGCATGGAAAGTCTTACATGCCTCACTGTAAGATCTGTAACTAAAATATATTGTTATTGTTTCATCATGGAGGTCTTGATAGCAATTAAGTGTTACAGTAGATGGTGCATAATCATATAGAGCAGGGCCCTACAATACAATTCTTACTATCAAATTAACGCACTTAGACAACTGGAATGGATTCGGTAGTTAAGGATGCTGGCCATGCAGCTCTCTTGTTAGTATCATGTGTCTGTTGTGAAGTCCAGCTCAACAAAAAACTTCAAACAATTCAGGAAGCAGCTATGGGCACATAAATTAAGCACCCAAAATTACATGCCCAGCAGTTTCTGTGAATGCCCACCTCCCCACTGGCAGCTGTGAACCGAAAGAGAAATAGCATCTGCAGAACCTTGCAGAAGTACCTGCAAAACCAGGAGTGCTGAGAGGAAACACCTGAGTTGCCGTCAGAGAAAATTACAGACAGGCTAGGTCATATAGAAGTGTATTTATGGAAATATGAAGCACTGACCAATATGCTTAAGATGCATAACAATTAATGGAAACTTAGCAGCCTTTTATGACACATTGCATATTGCCTGAAGTCATTTGGATTTGGCTGTACAGGGAGAGACAAGATGTCTGGTTCTGTGTGACTTCCTGCTTAGTCATTTAGGAAGACAGAGAAGTTTCATGGATGCTGCCTTTTGAACTATCTTGCTTAAAAAAACCCTCCACAGCTCTAGTTTGTAATGCTAAGGTGATTAAAACTGAGTTCTACTTTATGATTTCCTGTGTGGTTAAATTCTGAATTGACAGTAGTTTTCTTCAAATTTTTAACTTTGCTTCAGTCTTTACCCTTATTTTCTCTTTTACTGATCTCTTCTGTATCTCTCAAACCTGTACTGTTCATGTACATGTTCTGTATCTCTCAAACCTGTATGGTTCACACAATTCCTTATCTCATCACACCTATTGAGAGACCTCTCTGCTGATTTCACTGAAAAGAATGCTTGCACATTTTGCATAGTAATTTTTTCCATCTGGGGGTTCTCTCTGGTTTCCTAAGTCTGGGGTTTAGAGCTAGTTCCTTTTGAAAAGGAGCTGTTACATTCATATGCTTCATTTAACTGTTCTTTAGATTTCTGCATTGTACTTCTGAACATCCAAGTTCAGGATTCATTCAGGCTTTAAAATATTTCAGCATGATTTACAGAACAGTCTGAAATCAACCCACTGTTGAAACACCAACATTGGCCCAGTTTATAAATTTTTATTTTCCAAAGAATTGTGCTTAAAGTTAGGGACATCTCTGCCAGCAGTGACAAGTTGAATGGCAAAGGAAGTTAGACTCAAGAGGCGAGAAGTTCAAGGTTATTTTACCCTGTTATTCTGAGGAAACCTGGAATGCAGATGTTGTGGCTTGTAAGAACTGGCCTCATTCTCCTCATTAAAACCTGGCGTGTGTTGACATGTGTAAGCAGATGGCTGGAAGGCGGAGGGAAAACACTTAATACCTGGGAAAAGTTTACAGAAGAGCTTTTCTTTCAAGAAATAAAGTGAATATCAGGAGTTGTCCCTACAGGGACATGGAGCCTGCCTCATGGGAAGGGGACCCAAATCATGGAGGGGCTGCAATGTCTGGGGTAGTAATGTGGAGGCATTACTGAACATTCAGCCTTGTTAATGGCATTCACATCCTTCTCGCTTTCTTTGATTTTAATCTTTGGGTGTATTTTCATTTACTTTTTGTCTTCTGGCCTGTTTGTTTAGTTTTGCATTTTAAGTGATTATTCCCTAATCAGATATTTTTTTGAAACTATCTGTAGCTTCATGTTGTTTACAAGGAAGATGTTGAGCATTGAACACTGGATGCCTTTTACCATCTTAACCTTAATTTCTTGTATGTTTGCTTGTATTGTTCCAGAGTTAGTTGTTTAATGAGACATCTTGAGCCACACAGCAGTTGAGCTTTGATCATTTGGGACTGAATAGTGACTACCCCTGTGAAGCCACAGCAAGTAAGCCAGTTCTGATTCTTTTGAGTAGCTGTAGGGGTGAAAATCTCTCAGTGGTATCAAAATATGTTGTTCCCTTCAATTTGGTATAAATTAATTTACTAATGTACTTAACACTTTCTCTGAGATAAGTGGTAGCTCCTCTATCTTAACTTCTCATTAATTTGCACAAAAATTATAACACACTGAACATTTGGCTGCTGAGAATTTTCTAAAATGAGTATATGGTAATTGTTTGTAAGTCCATGGAATTTAATTAAACTGTGTTTAAATGTCTTAGAAACTGATGACTGAAAATCAACTAAATAAAAATGTTTACACATGGGCACATAAATATGCATACGTGGTTAGGAAGCAGGCTGTTTACAATGCTGGGCTCGTCTGTTTGCAAAGGCAACATCTAGTACAGCATGTCTCTGATAATTACATTTTGGCTTAATAAACAGAAATGGGAAGGATGCTTTTTTTTAGTTATATTAATGCTTTCTTTTTTGATGGATCTCACTAACGTGGTGCAGAGAGAGATGTTTAGTTTTTATATTTCAGGGGCAAGTGTAATAACTAGATTTTCAGAAATGGTGGGTGTTAAAAGAAGGAACAAGTTTTCATTCTTTGTGTAAAATGTAAAGCATATTTCAAACCTGCTCTATCCTCGTGAGATTTCTGAAAGGCACATTGAATTGATTGTACATCAGAAGCATGTCTTACTTTTATTTGTCAGTTTTCACTCTGGAAAATTTTGTCCATATCAAAATTATTACATTGATATGTCACTGATATGTGTATATCATATATATGAGTATATATATATATATATATATATATATATGGATATTATTTACAGCCCCCCATTACATCTTTTCTCTGTGTTTGTACTGCACTTAAGGACACAGAACATCTAAAATTAGTTTTCATGTCTTGCTTATGCATGAAAGAAGCAATGTTTACATGAACGTGAACGAATTCATGTTTAGCTTCAGCACCAGCCCTCTAAGTCTGCACTGTTCCCTGTATATCCACTGGGCAGCTGACCTGCCATAATTACTGTGTTGCAGTCATTTTGATGTGGTGACTCATGCACATACAGCTTTTCCCCAGTTTAAAGATCTTCATCTTGTTCAAAATTTTGCCGCAGGTGTGAAGGAAGGGACTGGATCTAGCCCAGGAAACTTTATTTTTCCTCTCCCTTTTTTTTTCTTAACATTTGTAAAAAGCCATGCAAGGTGCGGCTTTACACACACTCCTAGTAATGGGGTTTTGACAGTCTTTAAAATGCTTTGCTAAAAAAAGTCCAGTAGAGCAGGACATTGCCACGGATTTATCCACGTAAATTGGATTTCTGGATTCAAATTAACTTTTCAGAAATGTCACAAAGCAGTCACAAAAGAAATGTAGTTCTGTTCTGGTTAGACAGAATTTATTCCTTGTTGTTATTTAAAGAAAGAAAAAAAAAAAACAACAAAAACCCCACAACAAAATAAAAACAAAAAACCAAAACATTTAAATCACTTGCTTCAAGACACAAACAGTGAATTTTGCAGCAAGAACAAAATCAACCTTTCGAAGCAGTCATAACTCTTTTCACCAAAAGAAAATGAAAGGGATCACAAACTCTTCCTGGAGAGTTTAGAAGTATCACTTTTTGACTTGATTCTTAGATAATGGGAAATTGTATTGACCAGTTCAAGCTGAGTACTTGGAAGGAATGCTGGAGCCTCCATCATGGCCTATTTTTATTTCACACTAAGTTTATTTATAGCTGAGGCAGAAAGTTGCAATTCTGCAGCCATAGACTTTTTTTCTTTTTTTTTTTAAGATATGTGAAAATCAGTGAGCTGTAGAACACTAATGAGAAGATGCAGTGCCTTCCTGCACAACAGCCACGGTAATCTGTGTGATAAATAAGAAGTTACTCATAGACGCCTCTACTGTTCTTTTCCTCTTCATTATTACCATGTAGCAATTTTTGTATTCTGTTGGGATTTGAGCTGCAGGAACAACTGAATGGCCTGAAGTTCAACAGTGCTGCTGTGTGTACATACATATGCATATGCATACTTGGAGAGAGACAGAGTATGCTGTTGGCTTCCTCACTTGTCACCTTTCATGTCTGGGTCTCCTTTTTAAAATATTAGACCAATTCTTGATGTTCAAGCATCAGCTCTGTAATTTCCTGAGTCATACCCACCTGTCAGGAGCTGGAGGAACAATGCATTAATCTGGTTAACAATAGTTTCCACAATACAACAACCCCTTGTACAACACATAAGAGGAAAGAACAACTGACAGCTTAAAAGCGGTAGGGAAAAAGGTCTGTTCCTGTGTTGTAAAGGCCTGAAAATTTGTGTCAGAGTCATTTCTGCATTTCTATAGAGCCCCAGTGAATTCTCTGCTCCTGTACAGTGACTGCAAAACTAGAGCAGTTAAAAACTTGCGTAAGATGTTTTTTCCAAATAATAATGGATACCACTCTGTTTGCTATAGATCTTGGTAAGTAATTTAAAAATGTATTCACAGGGAAAAAAGTGGTTAATAGTGTTATTTCCAAATTTTAATGATATTTCTCAGGGGCACAGCAATGCATAGTGATATCTTTTATTATCTCAGTAGACAACTTGAGCTTACATCAGGAGGAATTTGGATTAAACCAATGCCCTCTCTGAATCAAGGGACCTGGCTTCAAGAAATGCTGGGTGGGGAGAAGAGGAGTTTTCTTGGCATTTGTTATTTCTCCTGTGTTAAGGAAAACTTAGTTGCAATTAAGAAAATGAAGCCCAGTGCATGATGCTACCAGCATCAATCTGGGGCTGTTTATACATCTACACTAATTAAGAATTGAGAAGATTTCTTCTTTCAAGCATGCTGTTGACAACAATGTGAGTTCACAAAAATCAGAACATAAAATTCATAGCATTGTGCTTTCAAAGCACACACTGCAGCAGGCACAGGATCCTGGGCAACTTTCTAATGTGTTTCTTGTGAATTGAATCAATAAACTTAAGTAAACAAAGCATTGAAAGCAAACAAGAAGCCAGGGGTAATTTTAGGAAGTTTGTCAAGGCTTCTGTTAAACTGATGGAAATTAAATGAGTTGGCTCCAGTGATGAGCAGGGAAGATAGCAGAAACCCTATGTAGGGAGTTAAAAAGAGGGTAAAGGTCCCAGAAAATGATTTGTTTTATAACAGAATAATTATATTCTTTATGTGATGAAAGGATTTGAAGTCCTGACTGTTGCTCTGAACTTAACCTGAAAGTCATCTTCATTCCATGGTATATGACCTGATTTTTTATTTCTCTCCCCCCCATTTGAAGACGCTACAGCCAGTGCAGAAAGGTAGCTGTGTCCAGCACGTTAGCAGGACACACATGGTCACAGTGCTTAGAAAAGCTTCTGATCATGGCCAGTGGATATTTTCGGGGCTAATTAAATGAACTGATGGCTGCTTAGTGCCACTTCCTAAGTCCTTAGTCTTTCACAGGTGTTTTAGCTGATTTATCTGCCATCATGAGGAGATGTGGCTCTTGAATAAGCATCAAATGTACATAAACTGGTGGAAATTGGTGAGATTTTGGTCTTAGCCTATGTCTTCATTTTTTTTCAATCTGCTAAATGCATTAAACAGTGAACTCCAGACAAGCTGCTGTCCCTGTCTGCTGGCATTTCAGTCCTGCAAAAATGCTCTGATATGTCAACACCAAGAGCAAATACAAAGAAAAAAAATATTTAGTTTGCTTTATCAGCATTATTGATTTCTTGATAGAATGTTCGGAAGATATCTTTTTTACATCAGAAAGGAGCCTCATGTGTTTCAGAAGGCTTTAAGCATGTGCCACACTGAAGCAGGTCTCTCTGTCCCAGACCTTTGACGTTTGAGGGCTGAACACTGTTTTCAGTGATAATCACTTGCATGGTAGACAGCTTGTGTGGTAGGTATTCTGTGATTCTACTTATACTCTGTGCTTACAGTTTTGTGTGTTCATGGGGAAGATACCTGCAAACATAACTACCTGCCACTTCCAGTCCAGTGCAAGCAGACAAATATATTTTCTGAGGTCCTCTCTATTTGCCCTTTGCATAAAAGCAGCACAGCATGCTTTTGCTACTGTAGACAACACCCATCTGCTATGCGCCTTAGTCTAAGTTAAATGAAGGAAGGTTGCAGATATGAGGAGTTTGGGTTTTACTCTCTTGTTGCTACATATTGCCTTGGTACATATTGCCTTGTACAGCAGAGTGCAATCAATTCCCATTTCATTTCCCGCTCATCCCCTCCACACACTGCTAGATCTGGAAGATGTGCTCACTGCTGACCATATAAATGTGCTTTACCTTCTCCTGGCTGCTAAGAGCTTGTAGGAAGATTCATCTGTTGAAAGAAGTTTCACTTCTATTTGAGTCCTTGAAAATTCATATCCCTTCTGAAAAAGATACTAAACTAATGCTACATTTACCTCACTGTGCACATGCTTTGCATGTTTATTGCAGATGTCTATAAAGTGGTGATCCTGATGTTGTTAAATATTTAACTATGGAAGAATTAAAGATGATCTGAATTTAAAAACTTTGGCCAAATAGTCAGTTAAATGTTTGGTGGAACTATGTATGTTGTAAGAGTATTTTTAATTTTTAGAATATTTTCCTTCTAAGAAACTCAGTCTGGGTACAGCAAAATTTGTCAGATGTCTCCTCTATAAATTCAAGGATAACAGAATTATCCTGGGGTATGCATAATAAAGTTATAGCTCCCATCACCAGAATGCAGCTTCTTTGGAGGTAAAAACAGCTAAACATACATCACGACATTACAGGGGAGAGGGGGAGAGTAGACATTTTTTCTGACGCCAAGAGACTCAAGGGAGCTCAGACCTGTTAATACAAGTACTTCTGAGCCCGCCTTCCTGGTAGTGAGGCTGAGAGATTCATATGTGAGCCAGGATTACATTTAACCTGTATTTCATTAAATATGCTGCTTTGCTACCACTATCTGTTCCTGACCCTTGCGAACATATGAAAAGGAGTCTTAAAATTAACTGTCATAGCTTTATGCTGCTGCTTTTGCTCTTTTTTATTTTCTTTCTTTTAAGGACTTGCAGTATCAAATTATCAAAACCCAACTTTTATAAATAAATTTTTGGAGGAGTGGGTTGTGGGGGGTATTTTTGTGCAAATATCTCTTCAGGATTCTGATTTGTGGTCCACCAATAAAAAAACAAAACAAAACAAAAAAGACCCCAACCAATCCCTCCCCCCCCCCCAAAAAAAAAAAAAAAAAAAAAAAAAAAACAAAAAAAACAAACCCAAACAACAACAAAACCACACAAAAAACCAAAACCCAAACAACAAACCGAAAACCGACCAACCAAAGAAGCCCCTTTCAAAATCATAGGGAAAGCTGCTGAGTTTTCAACATCTAGATTGAGATGACTTTTAGGGTTATACCTCAGCATTTGTAACTTAGTAACTTTCATGGTAACAAGAAATTAGTAAGTAATGGAAATGGTTAAAATTATTTGAAATTCAGAGATATGGAATCTTCTGAATTTGTCTTATGGGATCATTATCACAGCTGTTGGGAGCTCTCATTTCACGAGTAAGAGTCTGATTTTGTACAATTTCCTTTTTTGACTTCAGTGGCTCAGGATCAAGCTATGGAGATTTGAGATAGAAGCCCTGTTGGAGCCCTATCTCTATTGGAGACAGAAGTGTTATTTTTGTCAATAGCAATCATTGGTAATGAGATGTATCTCTTGGTTTCATTTGAATTTTAAAATATGTTTAAAATTATTTTTAAAACTTTATCACCGGTGTCTGAAGCTAAAGATAAGGCACAAAGTATGAGACATGTTTGGAAACTATGCTTTTGAGATAGACTAGATAAAGGGTCTGACTGTAAGTGGAAGAATGATGTCAGTGTCATTCTAGTAATTGAATTAGTAAGTAAATATGCAGGTGATTAGAATTCTCAGTGCTGTTAATTATTTCAGCATTTCTTCCTGCAGTATGGGAAAAATATGTATTACTTTCACACTCAATTTCAGTTCTGTGAGTTAATGGCTTTCCTTGCACAAGAAGAGAGATAAGGGGATATTCATTGTTTGCTTTTCACTGAGGGATAAGTACTTACTCTAATAGGTTTCTACTGGTATATTACTGGGCTTTGTGAAAAAACTAGCAATTCTCCCTGTAAATTGGCAGTTGAAAACACTCGTTGAGGACTTATAACTGTATTTTTGTTAGTGTTTTAATGATACCATTGCCATTATTATGAAAACAGTTTATACCACAGTGAGTTTTCTTGAACGCACTTAAATTTCTGTTAGAAAAACACTTGTTTGGCCCTCCAGAGCCCGGGTGAGCCCTCGGTGGCTCTTGGCCAGTGGGATGAACTTTTGAAGTAGCTGCAGGGAACATGGAGAGAGTGGTGGTTCCTGGTTTTATTGAGGGGAGCCTTAGGTGACAAATTTGTACATTACAGTGGACGGACAGATTTCCAGCACCATATTCTGTGTATATGTATTTAAAAATACATATATAGAATGCCATATACACTGGTTAGGCTGTATCACAATGGAGATATCTGCATGCTTTCTGCATTTTCCTGTGCTTCATTGTTTTACATGGAACAACAGAAACAGATTTATTCATGTATTAAGCTGTATCAGTGGCTAGTTTTCATAAAGTATGAGACTACAATATTACTCTGAACTCCTCCCCAATCCCTGATCACAAATGAAAATAGGTTGCTTATTCAAGTTTATGAAATGAGGGGATCCAGCTCATTATTAATAACCGCAGACCTGTCAGACATTAAGCGCAGATGCAGTAATGAGCACATTCCCTGGCAGACTGACTTTCACATACAAAAACCACTCCATGTATTAAATATACACTTGAGAAACACTATAGTAAATGTTCCAGTTGTTTCAGTCATATGCTGCTGAGAGTATTCTGTAATTTAAGGCTCAATCATATGTTCTCTAAGGAAACCCACTGATACCTAATTACAGGAAGATTACAAAAGATAATGACAACATAATGAATTACAGAACCTTTATAACTTATTAGTGCAATTTCCTGCTATGAATCAAGACATCTAGATGAAATTTTAAGGATAGCTTTACATGACATTTACTCCTGTCTTCCACGATGAGCC